TATATATATATATATATATAGGTGTGTGTGTGTATACACGGTTAATATATATGGTAGATATGTATACATTTTCACATGACTGTAACTGTAACAAATCTGAAGTTTTGGAGGACATTTATACTTTGCAGTACATTTTTATAAAATCGTGCTTTTTTCAAGTATTTTTTTTTTTATATACCGGTATTTTGTTTTATTTTAAAGTTGCGTATGTGGACAGAATGGTGGTAAAAGTCTCATTTTTATTATTAAATTCTTTATGTTAACTTCGCTTTTGTTTGTGGCTGGATGGCATAATCTTCCACTCCTCGTCCACCTATCGGGCTGAAACTTGGCACATAGACTCATTGCCGACGACAACAAATTCTTTCACATTTTCAGCCCCACCCCCAACCCCCATAAAGCCTTTTTTCCTGTTTTTCAAGGGGAAGTTAAAGGAAAATTCTCGAAAACTGCGCTAAATGAGATTTTTAAAAAAACTATTTCAAGTGCGTTCGTTTGGTGCGTCATGTTTTATTCTGTTGTTGTTTTCCTGAAATAGTTGGTGAAATAAATCAGCTGTTTAAAAGCGGTTGGGTCATTAGAAAATATAGTTCAGGGGCGTGAAAACAAATGTGCGGTTACGCGCTTTGGTAAGGGGTGTGGGGGGGGGGGGGGAACACTAATTGAAATTCTTATAAGGGTCGTTACTTGAATGAAATGTTTGTAAAATAATCATTCCCCCCCCCCCCCATTGCTCGATATTACATTTTATAAAGGATTTATAAGAAAATATGTTTTTTAGGGATTGCTTAAATCTTTCATGACGTCATTAAAAAATAACTTTTCACAGGTTTGGTGTTAAATGAACGACTCCGATGCTAGTTATAAGACTGTCATAGTGCGCATGTCTTCAGTGGGACACGAGTGGAGGTTGACTGAGAACTTTCATGACGTGAAGTAGAGGCTGACTGAGAACTTTCATGACGTGAAATGGAGGCGGACTGAGAACTTTCATGACGTGAAATGGAGGCGGACTGAGAAGATTTCTACACTACTTTTATTTCACCTTCAGTTGAATAAACTTGAAGACTTCAGTGGCGTCTGTTGCTCAGATTAATTTCCGACACAGTGGTAAAATTTTTGTAAAAAAGCTACCTCGAGTTTAGCACTCAGAAACCGTTAAACTAAGCAAGTCCCGGCCACCCTCTGTCTCCCCCCCACAATCACCCATTCAACCCAATTCCCCCCCCCCCCCAGTTAGCCCAATCACGTCCCCGCCACCCTCTGCCCCACACAATCATCCATTCAACACCCCACCCCCACACACACAATCGTATGCTACACAGATCTTACACTAACGCACTTAATACTTCTTCGCCACATTGATCTTAGAGTTAGTTCTATCTCAAGCCGTCCAGCTGTTGTGGGGTAATTCTGATCAACAAATTCAACTGCCGTCTTTTTACCGTCAAGATGGATATGGTCGATATAGCATTAAACATACGGGCAAACGAAGGGCTGGCATGGGGCAAATATAGGGCATACGTAGGGCTGGCATGGGGCAAATATAGGCCAGACGTAGGGCTGGCATGGGGCAAATATGGGGCAGACGTAGGGCTGGCATGGGGCAAATATAGGCCAGACATAGGGCTGGCATGGGGCAAATATAGGGCAGACGTAGGACTGGCATGGGGCAAATATAGGCCAGACGTAGGACTGGCATGGGGCAAATATAGGCCAGACATAGGGCTGGCATGGGTCAAATATAGGCCAGACATAGGTCAAATATAGGCCATACATAGGTCAGATATAGGCCAGACATAGGGCTGGCATAGGACAAGTATAGGCCAGACATAGGGCTGGCATGGGTCAAATATAGGCCTAGGGCTGGCATGGGGCAAATATAGGGCAGACGTAGGACTGGCATGGGGCAAATATAGGCCAGACGTAGGGCTGGCATGGGGCAAATATAGGCCAGACATAGGGCTGGCATGGGTCAAATATAGGCCAGACATAGGTCAAATATAGGCCATACATAGGTCAAATATAGGCCATACATAGGGCTGGCATGGGTCAAATTTAGGCCAGACATAGGGCTGGCATGGGTCAAATATAGGCCAGACGTAGGACTGGCATGGGGCAAATATAGGCCAGACATAGGTCAAATATAGGCCATACATAGGGCTGGCATGGGTCAACTATAGGCCAGACATAGGGCTGGCATGGGGCAAATATAGGCCAGACCTAGGGCTGGCAGTGGCCAAATATGAGTCGTAAATAGGAATGCCACTTCAGTGTAAAGTACATAATAGATTAGTGAATTTAATAACAATCTTTGTGTATATATTTATTTAGACTACATCTCTAGCATGTGTTTTTATAAATGTCAAAATGGGGGGCAAGAACATAGATTTTAGGCGTGCTTTGCTTGGGGTCAAGTTATTGGGTACGAAATGCTAATGCAGAAGGCTCCATATTTAAATTTAATAGGTTTTGTAGTAGCAAACAACTGCCATTAGGAGACAATAACTTTTTAAAATTCTACCCATCAAGACATTTCAAGTTAAGACATTTCAAGTTAAGACAATTTCAAGTCAAGACATTTCAAGTCAAAACATTTCAAGTCAAGACATTTCAAGTCAAGACATTTCAAGTTAAGACAATTTCAAGTCAAGACATTTCAAGTCAAGACATTTCAAGTTAAGACATTTCAAGTTAAGACAATTTCAAGTCAAGACATTTCAAGTCAAGACATTTCAAGTTAAGACAATTTCAAGTCAAGACATTTCAAGTCAAGACATTTCAAGTCAAGACATTTCAAGTTAAAACATCTCTGTTCAGTTTTACCATAAAATAAAACTAATTCATGAGTTTGGTGGTTGGATGTTATTTTATTGCATACTTTTCAGCATTTCAAACATCTCGACCTGATCCGGTGTGTTCATAAAAACTTTTCTACCTCTTCTTTAAATCGATCATAAAATCTTTAGTGATTTCTGTAATGCCACTGACATTATCTGTCCCTTTCGACAAGAAATATTTATTTGTAAGAACATAACATGGCGCTGAGACCTGTGACATAATCCAACCCATGCAATGTGTGTGTCTAGGTGATGTAATCTCTTTGCCTTCTTCTTGCACTGGTTGATCACATATCCTTCCACTTATCTATTTTCTGAATTTATTTGCGCACACTTCCTTCTATTTCTCGCTGTTTCACTCACTCTCTCATTGTGACAAGATTTCAAGTATTACACAGTGGCTATTACAAGTTACCAACTTGTCGATGTACGCGCAGTGATGTCAGCTTGCTCTCATTGCATATTGCCAATGTCCCAAAGAACTCTGTTTAAAATTTAAAGTAAAACAAGTCTTACCAGGAACAAAATCTAGAGAGATATTTTCTGGAAACAAAAAAAAAGGCTTACAAGAAACTTCTGATTGGGTTCATTTTCAATCAATAACATTGCTCCTATTTGGAAGAATAGACTATAAATGTAGAATACTATGGAAGATTCATTTGAAAAGTAGAAAGGGATACAATTGTCTGTAATTGCGGTACAAAGATACAAGCACATTAAAACATGTGCTTTGAGCAGAGCAGGCAAAGAAATTTAAAATAACTTGGTGAGATTCAATTTTGTAACACCACAAACAGAAGAAAAACATTATGACACTACAAAATTTTGATATGTCATTTTAAACATACAACATTTTCCAAACCTAACTCACCTAATGTTATATTCCTTTGTTAAATTACAAGCCAAACGGCAATACACTTGGTTGGCCTGGAATACAGGGCCCAAAAGAATGCATGGCCTGACATTTTATGTCTATCACAAGTACGATAGTGATGATTTATGGCCATTTTATGTTGAGATATTCTAATACACGTGTCTTTGAACAAATCCTGCTAAGCTAAAACTATATTTAGTGACAGGTGAAACTTGATGAGATTCCCCTTAAGAAGGGATACACTGACAAGAATAATTTGAACACTCAACTCACCCAATAATAAATAAAATCTTGTGAACAGCTTGGTCAAACATCAGCATCAATGAAGCAAGCCACTTATTAAGTGACCAAAACACTTTACTCACCCTCAAACAACGGTACACAAAAAGAAATATTTCGTTTTGCAAGTCTTATGCACATTATTATTAAGAACTAAAAATTAGCATCTCAATCTCAAAGGCCAGTTTCCAAGAGTCACCCCAACTAATGAAGCCGACCCATCATTGAAACATGCGTGGGGTCTATTCAGACATCTTAAATATTATATTCTATTCAAATGTTTGACTCAAATAAAGAGCCGCACCGATGGTTAATGTCCGTCAAAGCAGCAGTAAGACAAATACAATAGATTACATTGATAACATCTCTGTAAAGCCTGACAAGATTATTTTTTTATATGGCATGGTGAAGAAAAGTAGGGCAGGAGAATTCAGTTCTAAGACCTTCTCACACAGTAGGGTACATTGGCATGAAGAGTGTAAGTGATGACTTATGTCAATGAATGACTAACAAGGAGAATTCAGTTCTAACACCTTCTCACACAGTAGGGTACATTGGCATGAAGAGTGTAAGTGATGACTTATGTCAATGAATGACTAACAAGGATATCAGGAAAAAATACAGTT